CTCTAGTTTTCTCTCTTGCTCTTTCTCTCCATCTTCCTTCCGATCTCTCTGCCCATTGTGTCCTGGCTCCATGTCCCTTGCCTCTATTTTCTTCTCTGTGTCTCTGTGCTTCTCTTCCCATATCTCTGAGACTCACCATTCATTCCCCAGCCTTCTCTCTCCTTCCTCTACTGCAGCGGTTCTCAACCTGTGGGTCGCGACCCCTTGGGGGGTCGAACGACCCTTTCACAGGGGTCGCCTAAGACCATCGGAAAACACATATATAATTACATATTGTTTTTGTGATTAATCACTATGCTTTATGTTCAATTTGTAACAATGAAATTGGGGGTCACCACAACATGAGGAACTGTATTAAAGGGTCGCGGCATTAGGAAGGTTGAGAACCACTGCTCTACTGCCTCTCCGTGTCTTTTTCCCTAGAGTCTTCCTCTGTCTCCATCTCCCCTGGGTGTTCCCTCCCTTTCCTTCAGGAGCCTTTCCAAGCTGGCTCAGCCCTGGCCCACGGGTTCCTCAGTGGCTGCACGCCCTCTGCTGGTGCCAGAGAAGTTTAGATGCCGGTCACTCCATCAGTAGGCACTCGGGTCTCCCAACCCAGGTGTCTGCTTCCTACCTTCCTACCCAGAAAACCTCCCGAGGCTGCAGTTCAAGCCTGGGGCCCTGAGAAAACACTCAGGTTCTGCTGCTGCTGGACGCTAAGAGCCTCTAAGGAAGGGGCCCTGCCTCTCCCCGAGGGTGGGAGCCTCATCCCCCATCACACTGGGCTCCCCACTTAGCCAATGAGTTTCAGAGAGGCAACCACCGGGCGAGCGAGCGAGCATCTTGCTCCAGAAGCGGCTTTCCCATGTATGTGGTTTGCATCCAGTCAATTCTAGGACAGTAACCGAGTTCCTACTATGCGTCAGGCATTGTTCTAGCGTAGCACCCACTGCACGTTGTTTGTAAGCACTTGAGCTGTGGCCAGCATAAAAAGAGCACCTTAGGCATAAAAAGTTGCTCTAATAGCACCTTCGGCCTCATCTTCTCACACCAGACCTTGAAGACTTAGCATGGGGGGGAAAAGTATCTCCAATCCATTTTATATTGATTATATGATACTACGATACTATTGTGGAGATATAAAGTTAAATAACATCTATTATTGCCATTCATGTGGCCTGTTTCTTTTTTTCTTTCTTTTGAATATGGCTACTAATAAAATTTAAAATTACATGCTGCTGGACAATGCTGCTCTAGGAACTGGAAATACCAGAGAGAATAAAACAGAGCCTGCCTGGCAGAGCTCATGCTCTGGGGGGGTGGGGGGGGAGCAGAGAGTAGACAGACAGACCAACCGTTGTCAGTGCTATGAAGAGAGGTAGAGCAGCAAAGAGGAGCGAGTGTGACAGGGCAGGTGCCTTACAGAAAGCAGAGATCTGAATGAAGTGAGGGGGAGCCTGCAGTCCCTGGTAAAGGGTGCTCCAGGCAGGGGGCACCACGCACCACACGCAAAGGCTTCTGCTCTGGCCTCTAGGAGCAAAGGGGACGAGGGGTCCGGACAGGTGGGCACAGGGCAGGTTCCCTCCTTCACACCTTGCACCAGGGTGGAGCCTCAAGCCACCTCCCCCAAGACCCCGAGTCACGGTCTGGTGCCCATTCATCCACTTCTCCCTCCTCATCCTCCCGCAGGGTCAGGAGGGACCCAGCCACCTACTTTGAGTAGCGGGGCCACCCGTTGGGCTCTCTGGCAGGTCCATGGGCCACCCTCGTTGCTCCACAGCTGCTGGCGAAGCTAACAGCCCCCCTCCATCACTGGGAGGAACTGAAAAGGGACCGGCTGCTCCGAGAGCTCCTGGAAGGACAAGCAGGGGAATGGCCTCCTCAGACCAGACACCTGAGGGGTGGGGACCTGACCTGCCTCACCTGCGCTCCAGGCCGTTCTGGGTTCTCAGAACCTGTTTGCCCACCCTTGCCTCCATCACAGCGGCTCCCGCTCAGACCTGTTTTATGAATTGGAGGTGTGGGTTGGGCAAAGGGGGACCTGAAGAGTGGGTGGCAGAGATCAAAGTGGGGCCAGTGGGTGGGGGTCATTGCCTCTTCACCAGCCCTCCTCCCACAGCTTGTCAAGTCCCAGCCCTGTCTTCCTGCCCAATGACTCTACCCTGTCCCCTTCTCACCTTCCCTATGGCCCAGGCTTCGGCCTCGTCTTCTCCCCATGGGCCCTCGCTGCAGCCTCTTCCCTGGCCTCAGCCTCCGGTCCCCCACACCAGTCCACACCCACAGGGCCCCCGAGCTGACCTGCCCCTCCCCTGCTCACTGCTCTTCCATGGCTCCCGAGCACCCCCTGGACAGATTCTAGACCAGTGATGGCGAACCTATGACACGCGTGTCAGAGGTGACACGCGAACTCATTTTTTTGGTTGATTTTTCTTTGTTAAATGGCATTTAAATATATCAAAGAAATATCAAAAATATAAATCTTTGTTTTACTATGGTTGCAAATATCAAAAAATTTCTATATGTGACACGGCACCAGAGTTAAGTTAGGGTTTTTCAAAATGCTGACACGGCGAGCTCAAAAGGTTCGCCATCACTGGCCTAGACCCTGGACTTGGCATCGAAGGCCCTCCATGGCCTGGCCCCAAATCACACTTGCTGCTCCAGCAACTCTGAACTGAGTGCTGTTCCCCAAACCGGGCTTGCTGTTCCCACCTCTGGGACACCCTCCTGGCCAGCCCTCCCAGTCTCAGCTGGCACGTCCCCTCCTCCTGACCACCTTGGGCTACCGACATCCTCGCCAGATCAGCCTGTGTCTGGCGTCCCACTCGTTAGACCCCATCTCTCCTGCTCTCAGTTCTTCCTTGGCTCCCTGGTGCCCTCAGGACCAAGACCGAGCCCCTCTGGCTGCTATGGCGGGGTGGTCCCTGTAACTCCTGCCTCTTTTTGTGACTCTTCTTCCCACTGGCCCCTCCCCCTCATCACACCCATGGGAGCTTCGCATCTTCCCAGGCCGAGGCCACACTGAGCATTACTCCCACCTGTGGCCCCTGCCCTGGCCCACAGCTCCTGGGGAGCCTTCCTGAGTCCCTAGAGCAGCTGGGACCCCCTCTTCTGTCCTGCCTACATTAATTATAACCAGGTTGACCATATGACTTCTTATCCCAACTCCAGGACACTGTCAAGAGCAAAAGGGGCCCGGCCAGTGTGGCTCAGTGGTTGAGCGTCGACCTATGAACCAGGAGGTCAGTTTGATTCCCGGTCAGGGCACATGCCGGGGTTGTGGGCTCGATCCCCAGTGTGGGAGGTGCAGGAGGCAGCCAATCGATGATTCTCTCTCGTCCTTGATGTTTCTATCTCTCTCCTTCTCCCTTCCTCTCTGAAATCAATAAAGATATATTTAAAAAATAATAATTATTATTACACTGGATGTCTGGCCGGTGGCTCAATGGTTTAGAGCACTGGCCCACTGAAGGGTCGCTGGTTGGATTCCTGGTCAAGGGACTCTCTTCTCCTTCCTCCCTCCCTTCCTCGGGTGAGTAACAGCAGCAGCAAGTTACACCGGACAATGATGCCCGTCACACCGAACTGGCACACGGGGGCAGATAAATGGTCAAAGCAGGGTCCCCCAGGGCCTGACTGTCCGCACCCCACTGCACAGCTCCCCTCTCCTCCCCACGTGCTCCCCACACCCCGCTTTCCTGGCCACACTTCTCGGGGGCTTTAGAATTCCTAGAAAACGCGGCTGAGACCCTTCTAGGGTTTGGGCGACGCTGGAGGGTCTGCAGGGGGGCAATGGCCCTGGAACCCGAGTGGGAAAGGGATGCAAGGGTGTGACAGGCACTGGGAGCCTCTGACAGGGTTGGGGGGACAAGCTCCTGGCGAGGGACTGAGGGAGGCTCCGTTCAATCTCGGGGAGTCTAGCCTTTGGAGGGGGGTCTAGCAGGAGGCTCAGGCAGGACTTCTGGGAATTTTAAGGTCTTGATTTCAGATTGTCTCTTACTGGAACTCTGGGGGGTCTGGATTTCTGGGGTCTCTGACTGGATTTCTGGGTCTCTCTGACTGGGTTCCTGGGGTCTCTCTGACTGGTTTCTGGGGTCTCTCTGACTGGATTTCTGGGGTCTCTCTGACTAGGTTCCTGGGGTCTCTCTGACTGGATTTCTGGGGTCTCTCTGACTGGGTTCCTGGGTCTCTCTGACTGATTTCTGGGGTCTCTCTGACTAGTTTCTGAGGTCTCTCTGACTGGATTCTGGG